TGTGGCGGGATTTGGACCATTTGGTCGAAACTAGAAGGAAAATATATAAATAGGTGAGAGATACAAAATTAGATGGACATAACAAAGGATGTACTGTGCCCTTCGCCCTCTCCCAGGTGCGTCGTAGGCCATTTTGAGTGGGGGTGGGGTGCACAGAACTGGTGGGGTGTCGGGCCGACAGCCGAATATATTTTACTTTGATAAGCAAGAAATGGGGAAAAATCATAAACAGATGTCACATTGGCTGTAAACCAGGGTAAACAAAAATAATAGTCATTCGATTCTAAAGTTAGACGACACAGATTCCTAAATCATTCGAACACGAAAATATAAAGTTTGTCTCTATTTTCCATTTTCTGAGAAGGCTTTTTCAAAGGTCCAAATCAAAAGACGGGTGTCGCCACTCAAAAACAACAACATGCAACCTCCTTTATACTTTAGCCACGCCCCTGCGCCCACTTTCCTTTTCTCTCTGTTCTCTCCCTCTACTCTTTGCGGGAAAATGGTCAAACTATCAGTTAATCAAGTTGTAACTTAGAATTAGTTGATAATTATGTCCTTGCACGGTGATTCAAAATAAAATAAAATCATATCTGAATTTCATGTTGTATCGATAAAAAAAATAGTCACTCTCAACCTCAAAAAAATATATAATTATTATTTGATTGAGTCTCCCTTTTTCAACATTCTTTGTGATTATTCCTCCTGAAATATTATTCAGCAAAGTAAGCTGTAGAGTCTTGGTGCGCTGAGTCAGGCGAGTCTGTACTTCACCGGGTCCGGCAGTTTGGTTTCAATATTGACTTTTGATCTAGTCTAGATGAGATAATTTGTGGTATAAGATAATGATCAATGACAGGCCGTAGACTGGCCGCCCGAGGGCAAATAAAACTGTTTTTAGATCTCAATTGAAAATGGTATAGATTGCGATTTGCGACATCACTATAATGATGTTGTCGGGTGCCTGCGTGCCATGCTATGTAGAGTATGCCTGTTATGCCGACAATTTTTCCTTTGCGTTTTATAGATACTCTGGACAAAATTGTCAAAAAACTTGGAGAGCCAAGCCAAATAATTGCTGTTTTACAAGTAACAAAAGAAATCTGTCGGTATTACAAAGACAACAAAGGGAGAAGATGAAAATCGGATAAGAAGTAAATTGCGTCCGCAGTGAAGAACCCTAATTAAAATCGTATTTGCAGATGACCGGATGTTAATTACTAGATTTTTTGTTGGTCGATACGTTTTTATTACCAGTACTCTAATTTAGCTAATCATGTGAGGTCCAATGGGGATTTCCCTTAATTCGCCTACGTGAAAATTACTTCCTGCAGATCAGTTTCAACTTTTTTTCTGTCGTAAGATTCAATCCTTTTTATTAATCTAAATTCACAGGAATACATGGAAATTTGTTTTGGTTACACATTGTAAAAATACGATGACGTGCGTTCTAGATAAATCATGTGATTAACTCTCCCTATAAGCAATGCCAAGGAAGTGGTCTCGTGACGTCCCTGTATAATAAATATGACGATGCATGATGCCCAAGAGGAGATATTAAAATTAAAATAAAACCGAATCAATACTGAGCGCGGAAATGGTATTTTAGTCTTTCTCAAAATCACCAAACTTCCCGTCCTTTGTTTTCGTCACCGATAAGATATTATAGAAGTAAGAAGGATGTCGAAGAGATGATCAGTTTGGAACAATGACCCGATTTAATACAACTGTGTTGTCCGAACTTTCTGTTTTTCTTATTCCGATTTCAGTCATCCTCTCCACTCACCCTTGACGTAACCCCTCCCGGAAAGAAATTAGTTACATACCGATCCTCAAACAAACCAGGGATAACATCGAAAAGTGAAAGTGCACCTCTGCCATAAAGTGAACGTATTGAGTGATTTTCAAAAGTCCTATATTAGGTATGACTGAAAAACTGCACCGAGCATGATGAAATGTGATTTTTCTCGTTTGAAGCTAATTATTCTTGATATTCCCAGTTCACCCTCCAAAACAGTCTTTTCTCATATCATATTTTCATTGGTCGCATAATATATTCAATTTGCTTTATGGTGTGTGCTGTTAATATTATTCGGAAATTAGATTACGTAGAAAAAACACGAAATCGCAAAACTAAAATAATACTTTTCCTTATAAATGTTATATCAAAGGCAAATTTCGAAAGACTGCATGCAACTTGCTTGCTGGCGGCATTCGGCGACAGTGTTTGAAAACTCGGTTTATTAAAGAAAAGTTTCGTTCCGAAGATCGTATTTGGAATGATCGGTAACAGTTTTTGTTTATTTCGTGGAGACAATGAGAAACAACTCCTCCTCCCCCCCCCCCCCCCACCCCTCCCCGCAAAAAAAAAAGAAAAAACGAAATCTGAACGAAAAAAAATCAGAAGTTAAGAAGTAAACAAACAAAATCATTCACAAAGAATTTCCGTTCATGTCACTAATCACTATGAACAAACAAAATCGACTTATTCGTACACAAAACTGACGGATGGCTATCTAATTCCGTCGCAGGAAAAGAACGCAAACTAAATATTTTTCAAACTGATTTTCGTCGTAATTTACGGCAACTTTACTAAAAAAATAAGTAGTTCTAAAATATTTCGTTCATAGTTTTCGGTTTTGATAAGCACACAGAAGATCGAGATTTTCGTATAGCACATTTATGTTCGATTGTTGGATTGTAAGGTTTTAAAAATGGCGTCGTAATTCGTGCACTTTTGCATTTTCCTGCTGTCGTACAGGAATCGTTTGACGAATCCGTCATGAGTACAAGTTCACCGACATCCCATTTGTGTGGTAATCGTAACATACGTGTTGCGATGGGAACTCGGTGAACTTGTACTTGTGACGTTTTCGTGAAACACCGCCCTGGAAGATGAAATAAAGAAAATCAAGGTATTGATTTTGTTTAAAGCTCATATCAAGAACTTCCGGAAATTGTCACTACTGTCCGATAGACTGCCGCCAAAGAGATGTCTTGATTTTAATCCCGTCCATTTCTCCTCACTGTTTATCGATTTATTCTTAAGCGTATTTGACTTGTTGAGTGCACCTTCAGAGAGTTTGAATAGGATTATGAGGGGTAGCGTCGGGTTGAATTAGGGGGGATGTGGTTTCTCTATAGGGTTCATTAAAGAGGATTTGTTTTCCGCGATTAGGTTCATGGTCTCCCTAACTGTTTTTTCTTTAGAAGTTTAGAACAGGTGAAATGGGCCAGAAAGGCGGGATGGCTATTATTAGACAAGCTGTTTAGCCTCGATGTCCGCTTTATGGATCCATGTTTATTGGAACAGCGTCTTTGAAAGGTCAAACGCGTATATTTAGTTTTGCTGACCATATGAAACTGATTGAAAAGGGATCATGTTCTGCCGATGATTGAAACCGCTAACGAGGTACATAGCATAGGTGGTAAAACAAAAACTTAGGATTACGGCGAAAGAACAGCGATGAGGCTCTTGACTATTTAAAGCTAGTTTTACTTTAATGATGGAGTTAAAGTGTAGGAGGAACAATGTTGGCAAAAAGACATAAACCGTGATAGAATTCACGCCCTATTAAATATCACCTGATTTTGATATCAAAATTTGTTTGGTGTACGAGAATAACCATGGCAATATAGCATTGTTTTATTTTCTCGCTCTTAGGCAAAGGCAGAAATTCTCACTCTCACTCTAAAAGACTTTATTTTTATGGCATTTTTTGTGTGTACGAGATTGATCATAACATTTATTTTTGTTCTTCTTCAAAATTTCCTTTCATATTGAAGGGCAGTAAGGTGTAATTTTGTCAGTGATATTTGTTCGTACATGTATTAATAGGTCAAAGGTTAAAAGTCAGCTGAGGTCTACTATTCATTCAAAAATCTATTGCAAAATTTTGGTTCATTTAAGTACAATTATTTTATTGATTTATTTTTCATGCATGGTTTTTAACAAATGTTTATTTTGACAACAGTCAAGCTTGTCAGAGGATTGCCCGACATATCAACAACCAATGAATGTGGATTTTATCCAATAAAATGTGAGAATATTAGATGTGGTAACCAGGGGTTACATGCATCATTTGAAAAATATTAGTAAACAGGTCTATCAGTGTAAACACCCTTGTTGATGGTCTGTCTGAGCTCTGACAGGTCATGATCGTGAGGTAAAAGGTCATCTTAGGGTTGTTGGCATGGAGGCCTTGTTTTTTAACGTGCACACAACTTTCCTTCCCCCATCCTGACAGAAATAAAATTGTGTTTCAACATTCATTAAAATGTTGATGAATTCATGAAAAGATGCTGCCGATATTATTTTTTTGAGATTATGTCAGAGGTCATCTTAGGGTCAATTATTTTGACATTATTATTGTTATTTTTTTTTAAATATGCATCTTGGCTTACAATTTCTCAACATAAAAAAATTTGAATGCATTAAGTAGCATTTATCAATGTTGATGATTTTGTTAAAGGTATCTGCAAATTGGTGTATTGCTTTGATATTTATGTCTGAGTTCATTTTGAGGTCAATTATTTTTATATGAGGTCATGTTTTTTTTGTTTACATGTACATAACTTGCTACCCCACCATTCAGAAATGAAATCAATAGATTACTAGCATTCACTGATGATTATATGTATGTCACAGTCAGAGATCATCTTGGGCTCATCAAATGCATTTATTTCTTACATAATTCTATCCATTTTGATCATGAAACTTGGAAAAATTGATCCCTTGGTTTGACATTAAAAGTCTTCTAGTCAAGAATCATTTTGGTTTTTGATTTTTTCTTTTTAAACAGATTATTGTATTATCTTATGCTTTTTCTTTTCTTTTACAATGTTATGATTTGTTTCTATATCTGACTTGCTATATAGTTTTCACAATTAATATGTAATCTTGTGGCAGAGAGTAATATGTTCATGAATGCTTCATCAATATGATACAGGCCACTCAGCTCTAACCAACCTGTGCCTATCACTTCATTTTATCTCCACAGATCCATGTTTGTTCATCCAGAGGTTTGCTCACAAGCTAGAGTTTGATGAGAGGACAGATGTGGTGTGCGAGACAGCGTTGAGACTGGTATCTAGGATGAAACGAGACTGGATGCATACAGGCAGGAGACCATCTGGTTTATGTGGTGCAGGTATGTACTGTCTGGGAATTTTTTGTGACATTTTCTCTAATGATATTTACCAGGGCCCCAAATTAACTTTCTTTTGAAGGGGTATGGATAGAATTTGTTACAGTCCGTATACAGGAGTCCTATCTTAAAAGTATGAAATAATAATTGGGATGCAGACTTATAGTTTGGTCATTCATGTGGCCCGGGTGCCTATTACTGTCGAGCCCTGTCTTGTAAGACTAATCAAATTTCAAACTTCATCCCTCGACCAAACACAATATCCAACCCTAACTCTAGACCTAACCTTCACCTTAATTGCAACTGAAATCCAAGTATATGATGAAGAATATCCTTGTCACAGACTGTCACATTTAACACTTTCTGGATGCTTGAGAATTTCAGGAATAGATTTCTTGAATGAATATAAGAAGAAATTTTTAGAATTATTGGTGGAAATTATCACTAGCATTTCTATTATTGATACTGTTTAGATGCTGGCAGTTTGCCATGTTCCTTTTTAATTGGAATTTGTTGCTTTTTTCCTGCTGCTTACAGCTTTACTTGTCGCTGCCAGAATGCACAATTTCAGCAGGACTCAGAAAGATGTCATCAAGGTGGTCAAAGTGTGTGATGCTACCCTCAGGAAAAGGTAAATTTAGGAAAGAAAAAACAATTGTTTTTAAAGTAAACAATAATCAAGGAAGATATATGTCCAGACACATTTTCTTGATTTAACAAAAAAAACTTGGCATCATATAGTTAAGAGTGTGTTGATCCAATGATTTCGGCAGATTTCTTATGTTTGTTAGGTCAAAGTTTGAAGATAATTTAATGGATATTTACTTGGTCTATTTATTATTATGTTGATCACACAACCTTTGTTCATGCATTTTGAAACCTTTGCATTGATGTTGTGATGCAAATATACCAATCAGATATTGGAAGATCATTCTTAAATTGTAAGATTATGGAATAAAAAAATATACCTTTTTAATCATAGTAACTTAAATACCTGTAACATAACATTAAAAATATGTCTTTCATAGAGATAGACCTTTCTAAACCTTATTTCCATGGGTTTCATTGCAATACCAAATCATAACAAACTTACTGTAGTCTTTCCCTCATCCGTATAAGACAACAACAAACAAATTCTTTATTTGAATATTTATCATTTGTATTTATTGACTTGTTACCCTCACTAAAGCTCAATATAATGACAGTATTCAGTGCTTTGTATCATCACGAGAAAGTGCTTTGTAAATCCAAATATTTTCAAATTCAATTTTTTTTTTTTGCCCCCAGGTTATCTGAGTTTGAGGAGACACCGTCTGGCAAGCTGACCATCGATGAGTTTCACAAGATAGACCTGGAGGAAGAGCAGGACCCACCATCGTTTACCCGGGGAAGGAGAACCGCAAAACTTGCGCAGGTATGAGCACATGTATTATAGTTGTGTAATTATTATTATTATCATTATTTATATACTGCGCTTTTCCCAGAGCGGCCCAAAGCGCTTAAAAGAAGAAGAATCCTATAAAAAATGAAAATGAAAACTTACAGAATCCTGAAAATCTGGATTACAAACAAGAAATGTTTTAAGTCCCTTAAAACTGATAAGAACTGATAAGAATTGTAAATATGTTTTGTTGTTTGTAATCTCATACCCTAGTGGGGTTTTTCAGAGTAAGTCAATATTATCATCTTATATGCCCAGGGAGTGTTTGTAAATAGAGTCTAGATGAGTTAGTACACATGTGCTGGTAGCTACATGTATTTACCACTGTTCTTTCAAGTGCTATATATATATATATATATATATAGTTTGCATTGTTTGCCTGATCGATAACATTTGATGATTCCAGGAAATCCCTTGGATATTGAAGTGTTTGTACAAACAATTGTAAATAATGGGGTCCATCATTATATGAACCTTCTGTAATGTTGTATATTGGAATAAAAATTGGGGAAATACTTGTATGATATTGATACGTGATTGTTTTGTAGGCATGTTCATTATGTTGCTAATCTAGTTAAATTCAACTACATGTGTATTAGAAATATAAACTTTTTTATTAGTAATTTGCTTTGACCAGTAACATGTCCTTTACCTAAGATACAATCAACAATGTATATCTCCTCTTTGTCTTCATTATCAATGTCATTGGCCATATATGAAAATTACGCATAAGAAACATTTTAATCCGTTTATTCGTAACTTCTGTGTATTCAAAATCAATTTAGCTCTATGTTTTGTCTTGATTTTCTGAAACTGTCCTCAGTTGGAAGAGCTGAGCAAGAAACAGGTGCGAGAGTTAGAGGGAGAGATCGCTACTATACAGAACGAGATTGAGAGTGCGCTTCATAAAAAAGTACCAGGTGAGTGCCTGTTATTCTTTTCAGGGATATATATTAAAGATGTTCATGCGTGGGTATATAGTCGTTCATGAAGTAGGCAACTTGGCGATCACTACATAACACTGAGCCAGCAAGTATTACGCTCTTTTGCGTACGTCCGTGTGCTGCCCTCTATATACCTACGAATGAGCAACTTTAACTACCCAGTAATCCTGTTTGTATTTTAAGCATAGTATCATCACCTCCCGTTTTTGCTTCAAATTATCTGAAAGACAATTTCGGTATCATTTTGCTGAACCAATTTAAGTGAATTACATCCTAGATGGAAATCCTAAAAGTATGGTTCTGCCTCTATGCAATGAACCTATGATAACAAACAAAAATGCTTATTGTGTTCTTGGCTTGCACTACTACATTTTGCTTGTCACAATAAAGATAACTGATTAATTAATTGTTAACAATTATTAACAAGTAGTTTGTCATAACATGCCAGGGCTGCAATGTTGTTCTAAATTTCAGAATTCAAACTGAAATCTCATAAGAATGTTTAAAGTTTTATGCAAAATACACATTTCTGAATATACAGTCTCTGCGTCGTTTTACAGTATCAGTTTGAGGAATTTGGGTTTCCTTAACAAAATGCTAGTTTTCAGCCATTGGAATACTCAGCTATTCTTTGAACTATGGCAGCTGTGACACGTCTACACTTTTAAGGCAATTTGTGTGCCACAAGAGTCTATCAACCTGGAAATCATCACTTCATTCTGAAGGACTTTCCACATGACAATAGAAAGTGAAAGTGATAAAAACGCCTTGATTACAGGAAGGAACAGCTTAACCTTTCGTTATTGCTATTGTTTGTGCAGTTACATTCAAGTATTGCAGTAAAATCAATGTCTGGCTAAGTAATAAAAGCTAGTAGGAAGTAAAATCTGCAGAATTCCCAGGATTTATTCTCTTTTACGACGAATTTGAACCCAATCATGCTTTATCTTGCCCATTACTTGTTCTCTTTCTCCTTCAAAAGAGTCATGTGAGCATTATACTGTTCATATATTGTAGAGAAGTATTTATAATATTGTAAGGTCATCATTTTGACCCAATTTCTCGATGAAAACTGAGAGATCAGTGTGAAAAGTTTTCTACAGTTTTGAGTAGAGTAAACAGTCACACTTGTAGTTGATTTCAATTTGAAGAGGAATGTTTGCAACCACCTAATGACAAGCAAAATTGCAGTATTTTGATATTATGATGATGATGATGATGATTAGTGAAATGATTTTTGATTATACTTGTGGCTATATCAAAAATACAAATTTCAGTTTCACATTCTATTTCATGTTCTCTTTATCAAACTGAGAGCTTGTATTGAAAACTACAGATTTTAAAATTTGAATTACCATTCCAGTAATTCTTATCAATCATACCAAACATGTGTTGAAAAATGATTGATATATTTGTCACAGCTTTCTCATGTTGTAGTACAGGCAGCAATATTGCGGACTCTCTGAACATTTCAAAATGGCACCATGACACCAAGTTTCATTCTGACTTGCTCTCTTGTTTCCAGATGCAGCAGCAGCAGCGTTAGGGAGTGTACCAGAAGAAGACGATAGCAACGCTGGCGGTGCTGAACCTAGCAAAGAAAACATAGAACTTCTCAAACGCTTGGAAGGCGACAGTGTTAAAACTCTAATCGAGAACAAAGTCAATTCACATAAACAGTCGCAAGGAGTTGATGAAACTGGTGAAAATGCGGACTTAGCATCGAAGAGTAGCGTGAATGCAGATACGGGAGGGGGAGGAGATGGAAGAGAAGGAGAGGAGAAAGGAGGGGGAGATGGGGAAGGAGTAGGAGAGAAAGGAGGGGAGGACGGGGCAAGTGGAGCGGGAGGAGGGGGAGGAGGAGATGCCACATCAACAGAGAAAACACTGCCCTCGGGGGATGTTATTGATACGTTGCTTGGATCTGCAGTATGGAGCGATGAAGACAAGGGACTGGGGCCGTCACCATTATCCTTGGGATTTGAAAGCATCATCAAAGAGGCTGCTATTCCAGAAGAAAAAAGTAAGTTTTGTTATATTCCAAAATTTGTATTGCTAATAGCTCTCTCCAAGGGATATTCAAATATTCTGAAAATGAAAACTGGATTCCTTCAAGTTGTTAACTCTTTAAGAAAATATGAGATTGGAAATAAAACATCAGATTGCCATGGATGTAATGGTTACGAATTAAAGATACCAAAATCAATTATTATTTCATATTCAGATTTACTTTTCAAATTGTTTCCCTTCTATTTAATTTAGTTCTTTTGCTTTTACTTATAGTGTGTTACACTTTCATAGTATCTTTTTTTTCACTTTCAATAGGTTCTTTCTTCAGAATAATGACACTACCTTTTGATTATTTAAAGTTTGTTTTCAATGTACAATTATTAGAGCTTTATGAGTATGTCTCTATTTTTCATGTCCTTTATTTTGTAAGGTCCTGACAGTGATGATGGAGAGTTGGATTTAACAGGCATAGATGAAAAGGAGATGGAACTGGTAAGTTTATTGTGTAATTTATCCTATTATTGACTAATTTGACCCCATATTTACTTGGTATATGTTTTTTCTTTTTTCTTTCTGGGCCATTCTCACAAGCATTTTGCCAAAATCGATTATTATTTTTTATTTACATTTACTTTTCAAATGTTTCCCTTTGAATCAATATAGTCAATATGTATCAAGTAATAATATTTGTACGTTTTTATGGTTAAGGTTAAATAAAATATCTTGAATCTTTTATACTCCCATTCTTCCCATTATTTGAGCAATGGACAAAGTGAAGTTTGCTCTAATTGGTGAAGTGCATATTGTGGTATGAATTACACAGTCGTGATGCTTTCAAGAGGTATGCAAGCTCTTAGGTAAATGCCAAATGAGTTTTAAAGTATCTCTCTTTGGTTTTTTGATGACATTGCTTAAACAAAATAGCTGCAGATGTACTTGTAATGTACTTCACTCAAACTAGTAACTCTTTCTGATAAATTATAGCAATTTAAAATATATATATAATCTATACTTCATGATGTCTTTCGATAAAATTTGCTGTTAATTATACTTGACTCAAAGTAGTAAGATGTCCAGCAAGAGGATATACTTCATCACCATCTACGACACGATCATAACAGAAAAGACTACATGTGGGACTTCCTTCAGGACAGTCAGCCTCATTTACGCAATTTCCATTTACTCTACCATAAAGTCAATAATAAAATGATACATTTATTATACCATCTCTTTAGTAATAATGATATAAAGTTCTTAATTTTAGTAATGTCTTTCCTTTATATTCTGTACTTTAACAGTTTATTTTGAGTGAAAAAGAAGTGATGATAAAAACCACTCTGTGGATGAAGGAGAACGGAGAATACATGAAGCTTATGGAAGGTTAGTTTGAGATTCACTAAATGTCTTTGACTACAGGTATTAAGGACACAAGACAGAAAAAAAAATCAAATTAGATATGACACAGTACATGGCAGCAGTTTTTGTGTGTGTATTATGCTTTTTTTGTATCTTATAAGACAGAGCTAAGTGAATCTTTTACCGCTTCATTTCTGGGAAATCTTCATGCAGAATTTGAAGAATTTCCTTGATTTGTCCTTTCCAAAGGTTTTTGTTTTTTGGATGGTTTAGAAGTTTCCTATTTCCTTGTACATGTATGATGTATATACAGATTACTGAATGCTGAGATATACTGGATGTATATATAAAATGTAAAATTGCTTTTATCAAGCTTATGTGTAGAATGAATGAAGTTATGTAGGCAAATTATTGCTTACCGGGTATTCTTATTTCTAACTTTCATTGGTGTTAAGGGGAAGAGGCAGTAGGGCTAAGGTTATCTAAGAAGGATCACAAGTTGCCCTTCACAGATCAGAGCTATAAGATGAAGAAATTCAAGTTAGAGCAAACAATTTTGTTAGAGAGGCTTGTGAATTCATCTTTCCCTTTTCTTTACATCTGTTATATCCAGTTTTTCTTTGATTTAATCGTTTTCAGAAAAGGAGCTGAGATTACGAAAAGAAAGAGAACTGCTTGGATTGAAACCTGACCAACCAAAGAAGGTGAGTTTCATCATGTCCTTTTTAATAAAATTAAAAATAAAAGATGGAGTAACGTTCTGTGGATTCAAAAGTATACACATTGCTCTTCAGAAATAAAACGTCTCTTGAATCTTGATATACTTTATTTCATAACAGAAGCGGAAAAACAACAAGAAGCCCCCGATCCAGGCCAACACTGCTGGCGAGGCCATCGAGAAACTCCTCGTAGAGAAGAAGATATCCAGCAAGATCAATTACGATGTTTTACGAGATCTCACCCAGCCCAGCCCATCCCACAAACCCAGCCAACCCTCGCAACTAGCGGAGACCTCGCCCTCAGTCAACCTCAGTACGCCGTTCAGGGCGGGAGGTGTCAGCCAGGGTGCCCAGTTGACGAGGGCAGGGAGTCTGGGCGGAGTGAAGCGACTCAGGCAGGGCATAACTCCCACCAGACCGACTGTCAGAGAGGTTTTTAAACCTACGTTAATTCTCAGAAGTCTAAAAGCAAACATATATCTCTTTTTTTCTCTTACACATAGAGAAGTTTCCATTAAAAATGTTGATTATCGTTTTCAGAAAAAACCTAAATGTTTTAACTTGTGTAAAAATCTGTTTTTGATGCTATAAGAAAGCTCATATTACAAAGTTATAAGCAAAACATTTTACCTGTGAGTGAATTGAAAATTAAAATTTGAATTTGTTTTTTTCTTTACATGTACTGTTCAATGATCTTTATCTGCATCTTTCATTCAGGGACCTGCCCAGAAGACAGCAAAATTAGAGCCCAAAGAGGAGAAAAACCCCAACCCCTTCACTATGCCGCAGCCTAAAGCCCCCGATGACATAGTGGTAGAGTCCGGTCCTGTACAGTACGATGCAGAGGATGGACCCCACCATGAGGATGAAGGGGAGGATGAGTATTATGATGAGGAGGATGATCATCTTCAGAGTGCTGCTCAGTTGATGGGACATAGAGGTAGGTCGAGAGAATCTGTGGTACAGTCTCTGATTTTTACGAAGAAACACTTAATTAAAAGTCTTAATCGGGCCAATTCACTATTAAATAATGTCAATATGCTTCTTCCTTTTTGGTGAGTTTCTGTTCTATAATCAGATCGCACGTGGTGTAGGTGAGTTGCTGCTATTGTTTCGGCTGTAAATATTTGTTCCGACAAAATCAGGAAATCATTTTGGTAAAGCGAACGTGAAGAGAAGGTTTGTGTATTGCGCAAAATGCAAACCCTGATTTAGTATCAATGAACATTTGCATAAAAGGCAGCCAATATCAACATTGCTTCCTCATATTAATTTCACATTGATTTCCTTTTCTTTTCCTCTCTCATACAATACCTGCAGGTGATGATGATTATCAAGACAACTATGAAATGGACGACTTGGAGTAGGAGCCAGAGCAAAACCTACAAATTCTTTGACATACCTCTGCTATCTTGACACATTTCCAATGCTAGATGAGAAAGAAATTATCAACTTTGTCAAGTCGGGAATAAAAATCAACATAAACACCTTGCATTGTCTGTGATTTGATGTATTCTTAGAGAAACTACCGTATATTGAATGATTATTCATGATAGACAATTTTTATCATATATGTATTGATCTTGAAATAGCATCATGTGTGCTACAATAAAATGTCCTTATTAAATGTCATCGCCATTCTGGTTGAGAGACTCCATTGATTGTAATGATGATTGTTGCCGATTTGGGAATGCCATTGCTTATGGTTTGAAGAAGTCTGAAAATAGAGGCCCAATGTAGCTGTGAATGACCATTGCATATCAGACGAGTTACAATGTAATGGTTGTTCAATGAAACCTGTCCATAAAGACCACCGAAAGGAGACAAGAAAAGTGGTCTTTATAACCAGGTGGTCTTTATGGACAGGTTACTTTAGTACATTTTTCAATGAGAATCCATTTTCAAGGGAAACCAAAAAAATATGGTCTTTGTAGACCAGTGGTCACTAAAACAGGTTTTGCTCCTATGTACTTGTCACATTAACATTAACAATTGGTACACTGTAGACTGGTAATATTAATCATCCTATTCCACTGACAATAAAGGATATTTGTCCACCCCTTCCTGATATGTTTTTTTTTTAATTGATGTTCTAAACATTGCATAAATACAATGTTATTAAAGAAATTGTTTTACTAATTTTTTAACCTATGGGTAAGAATAATTTATATATTTTAATTGTCTTCTATGCACAGTATCATCATTTGGCAAGAACCCAAAGACAGTATATATATTTTGATAACATACTAATTAAAAAAAATGTTGATATACATGCTTTACCAAATATTAGGGCTATATTTCTGTCATCATGAAATGAAAACTATTTGAATGAAACAAACAATACCTCACGCTATTGATAATGTAAGAATTTCATTTTTTAATGTTCATCACTATTCCTTTAGCAAATTGGCTCTCCACAATGAAATAGACATGAATACAAAATATATACATTTAAATTTTCTTGTATACATAAAAAATTGAACTGAATGTAGTACAAAGACTGTTCTTCTTAGAAGAGCAATATATGAATCAATTTGGCAACAAACGCATCAAAATAATCACCTCTAGGAATTGAATTGAATAACTAGATCCATTATCTTTGAGCAATTGAAATTGAGATGAATCCTTGCATTAACATCTTTCAATGCACAATATACAAGCTCTTTTCAGGCAGAACAATTATAAAGAGATATTTACCAGGTAACATTGGTATAAATTGTCTGCTGAGAGCCAGAAACGCATTATCTCATACACTTAAACTCACAATCAATGTTTTTGCTCTCACCAGACATTTGTCATTTCATTTCCTGATGTTCTCTACTTTTCTGAGACAGTTGATATTATAGTATGAAAGATTATTTGATTTAAACTCCTACAGAAAAAAGAAGACTTTATTGCCAATTTGGCTATTATTTAACAATAAAAAGAAGCGTTTGCTTCTCCCAGTACTCGAGGATTGTCTCAAATATTTATTTGGTGTTGTCAGAAAGCATTTCAATGAGGACAGTTCAAATGGTAGAGAGATTTTTGTTCCCATTATTTTTAGTAATGTGTTTAAGCTTCTAAAGGAGTGGAGGTGATGTAAAACATGTTTAATATACAAATGTACAGTACAGAGAGCTATGTTTAAATTTTGAATTTAAATATACTGGTAGCAATCGTTTCCTTTCTTTACCAGGTATTGTAATATGGAAGTGATAGTGTATAATAATAATAATAAAACGGTGCTTATAAAGCGCTTTCCACCAAAGTCTCCAAGCGCTAGCTATGAAATTAAGAATGTTACCCAATTGGAGTTCTATCAACAAATACAATTGTTACTTTGAATATAAATAAGGGCATTCCATATATTCTGAAATATTTAATTTGAAAGAAATACATGAGCAAATAATTCAACTCAGTGATGAAGTTCCTCATTTAAATATGAATGCTGGAGATAAAACATAGTCATACCATTTATGCATCATATACAACTATGAACTTTTCATAATATCACCATAAGCCCACTCTTTCATATTTGTGATGCAGGGTATTTATCTTCACACCTAATATTTTGTACATATGTATATTATGTAAATGAGATATTTGTGGAGTTATGTTTGAAAATACAAAATAAAATGGAAACCTGTAAATGAACATTTTGTACTTGTGATCATTGTACAGTATAGAGATTCATATACCATAATGCACATACAACTTGTGAAATCAGTCATTATCTTCACCTCATATTTTGTACATATGTATATTATGTAAATCAGATATTTGTTAGTCCAAAATCTTTGCTCTTTCTTATGTTAGCTACAAGTAAAAACACTAAAATAGTAACCAGTATTTACTACTAAATCAAATGCAATGAGGTTTTAAAGATGTTTTTCCTATGCCTGTGGCACAGAACTAATGTAGTTCTGTACCACAATAAAACATCTTGACTTGGGCTTCGAGTACTAGAATAAGAGCTATACCTTTGTGGTTGACAAATACATTGGAATTTCAGTTTATAGCAAAGCAGTCTTGGGTAAAACTTTTTCATCCTCACAGAGCGACTTCTAAGTTCTCCTTAGGGTACAAAGCTTGGACACCAAATTAGAGTTTACATGCGTCTCTGTTGGTGTGACTTGTATTAGCGTCATGCATGATAGCTTTGCTCATGTTCTTTGTAAATTACTGCTATCCTTACATTTAAAATTATTTTATTGGAAGCCTGACTTTTATTCTTTGACCTTCTATGGCTTTTATCTTTTTGCAGTATTGCAATTAATGTGTATTATAATTTAGCTTGGGACGATTGCTTTTTGTTTCAGCTGCTTATTGAAGTAACCAGAGCAGAAAGATACTAAAAGGTTCTTTCTCTCTCCTTCCCTCTCTCTCTCTCCCTCTTTTTCTCTCTCTCTGTTCCACCCTCCCCATTACTCTTGGGAAAGGTGTACAATGACAAACATTTTGAATAATCACTACAGTAGGATTCACATGTAACAGCTTCCAATACGATTTTAAAACCTCTTGATAATTCAAAGTTAATCTATTGCTCAACCAAATATTATTAAAGTATGAGTAAAATAAACATTGGTAAATTTTTCGGTATTAACATTGATGTTTATATTGCCTCCATGGTTTGGTTTCATACCACTCCACTTTAGAGTCTGTTTGGACTTCGTAATAATTTAACTTCTTTTCTCTCTCTTCTGCTCATCTAGCCGTAATCTCTGCCTTCAATTGCAATTCATTTTCAATAAACTGAATTTCATGCATTCTTCTGCAAAATGTACACCCTAAGGCATGATCTTTTAACAGCACGTGCTATAAGCTTCATTGCACACAAATAGTCTCTATTCAGTTTACCATTCCTTCCTTGCAAATATTACTTAAACAGAGAATATAATAACATTGTTTACCAAGGTAAACCTCATCAGCATCAATACTGTTCTTCCTGAAAGCCCTGTTTATGACTTCATCATTCTCAATTTCCCAGTTTGCTCCCCCTCACTAAATCCTTCCATTTCATTACTTTCCTTTAGCTTTTTATCCCACTTTTCTCTCTAATCCTTCATCTCCTTATCTGTCGATTTAATCTCATCATCTTTACAATGGCGTGATTCCATCTAAACAGGAATAATTCACTTCCTACCACTCTCCTTAAGAGTGCATCTATCATCATTCTTGAGTCGTCCATCCACATGTTGGAAAGTATTACAATCATTACCTTCCTTCAACCTTTAATCCTTATCCATCACTAAAAGTATGGAAATTAAAGTTCAACCCTATCGTTCTTCTCCTTATCTGTCCATTTAATCTCATCATCTTTACAATAACTTGATTCCATCTTAACAGAAATACTTCAATAAAAATCACTTTCTTTGAGGATGCTAGCTTGTATCATTGCTTGCCCCTAGGCAAGATGAGAAGTCTTGCAATCATTACTCTCATTAGCCTGTCGTCTGTTTTCTATTGCTAAAAGTACTGACAATACAGATAATCCTTATCGTTCCTCTCCTCATCTGTCAATTTCATCTCTTCATCTTTAAATTGGCTTGAAACCATCATGACAGAAATAATCGATCCCTATTAATTTCCTCGAGGATGCTTGTATCACCAAGCGTCCCTTGACAAGATGACAAGTCTTTCTTTCTTCCTCTTTCCTTCTGTTATTCCTCCCTCTGTCTCCTCTTCTATAACACGACTCTTTGCTTCTTGATGTGATCTAACACCATCTCCTTGGAGAGCTTGCTGGGGTCCTGCCTCATCTCTTGCTGGTCGTGAACTTTGACCCCTTCCTCCCAGGCCCACAGCAACCGATGGATCCGACATGCTCTGAAAATAATAAAATAATGCATGGGTACCGGTATTCCAAATACCATATATTACCATATATTGGTCTTGAAATGTGACTTCTTTTGTCCAGGCCCAAAGAAACGGATGAATTTGATATGGTCTTAAAGCCCCACTGCACTACTTATAGCTACTTGCGCCCTCTATATAGCAAACAATACCTAGTCGGTGCATGTTGGTCCCACATGATCCCCTTTTTCTTATGTTAATTGAGAGCTGATTTGATGAGATAACCATCTGTCAGTGACCTTGCAGGGAGATCTAATCCTCTGGCCAAACTAGTGTAGACAGGCTTTAAAATAAACTAGCTCTTTAGCTTTTCGATCAATTCATGGTTTTGACAAGACTTTACTTATACTTATACTTCTGGAGCAGAAGAACGTGTGGTCAGTGAAAATAATATGATCAAGGCCATAACCATAAATTTACAGGTGTGAACATTAAAACTATCCCATAATTGAAATGATAATCATATCAAAAATTCATGCAAAGGACATGACAATTACAATCTTATGAAAATACTGCCACATGGTGATGATAATAATGGAAAAACAAAATAAAGCAGATTCCAGTTTTTACAATAACAAATTACGAGATGGAGCAATAAGAACTCACTTGAATGAGGCGATGCTCTCTGGGGGATACTCAAACACTGAGTTGCGATTACTCATGTTGAAGAAATACAACCTCTTCTGGGTCCTACTCCATTGCACTGTCCATGGATCTGCATAAGATAAGCATTGTAATTATCATTATGTAACAAATACAATCAACATCAATGAGAGTACAGGTAATTAGATTGTAAAGACTTTCAAAAAAGCAACTCGGGGGCAATTTTAATAATAATAATAGCTAGTTCTTAAATAGTGCTTTTCAGGACCGAAGGCCCTCTCAAAGCGCTTTACAGATATATATATATTACTACCCCGGTCATCGGATTCAGGCTTACCCGCACACAATGTATGCACATTCTCCACTCCAGCCAGGCATCATTTTTACAAGCGCACACTTGCTAATATAAGCACATTAGCTTTCGCATCCTACCGGGTACCCATTTAACACCTGGGTGGAGAGTGGCAAATATAGATCAATGTCTTGCCAAAGGACATTACTGTCGTGGTGGGACTTGAACCGCGGACCTTGTGATCCACAGTCTGGTGACATATCCACTCGTCCACGACACCTCTATTATTATTATTATTATTATTGAATATGATTATGTACTGGGAGCCCCACCCCCCCCCCCCTAAAAAAACATACTTGGCATTGAAAGTTAGTTACATATGCAAATAAATAGTTACTGATGTAGTGCTCCTGATACTGTAGTACAACAGTTGTGAAAATCAAATTTTTCAGAGGGCGTGATGCCTTGGTTGTCAAAAGGTAGTCTCATAACCGGGAGGTCAAAGATTTGAAACCAATTTGATGCGCTAGTGCCTTTTGGTAATGCAATTAATCCTCAATTACCAATTCCCTTGTATATTGCCCTAGTCTATTATCTAAAAGCACATACTTGCTTTATTAATTAGCAGTTGCATAGACGCTTTACACAAATCACTGAATCAGAAATTGTTCATGCGTTGTTTCACAGTAAATATAGTTATAGCTATATAATAATAATAGGCATTTCTATAATGCTGTCTATCTATAAATTCTATTCCGAGGCGCATTTATTTAATATTATTATCCCGGCTTTAGCCTAGCTGCCATTACAGCGCTCAAGCAAGGAATTCATTCGTGCCAGGTACCCATTAACCTCATCTGGGTCGAGGGTGGCAAATGTATGTGAGTGTCTTACCGTTGCATGTCTTGATGAAGAAGATTCCCTGTGGCATGTAATGTCTGCCATTATCCGTCCTGTAACACAGTCTTCTTTGCCTTCCTCCACCCTTCACCACTAGCATCACCAGTCTGATGGACAATCACAAGGGCACCAAATCAAACATTGGTTTCATTTTCATCTAACATGCATTTCTAATAGAGTTGAACTCCTTGTATTCTCGAGCACAGTTTTGTGTACATGTTGGGCAACTTTTCCCCTAGTATACATGTACAATAGAGAGTGAATGTGTGCACTCAATTCAATTCAATTCAATTCAATAATGGTTTATTATGCAATTTCAAAATACATGCACTCATAAAAGAGATGGCTCAACACATTAAATTCCTTTACAACAAGCAAGGAAAATAACTACTGAAGTCATAGACATTCCCTGATGTAAGTAATGAATACGTCTTTGTGAATTTTAGCCAAGCAAATAGCAAATTGATTAAGCACGAATCTCTTCACTCTTGTGGATTAATGAAACCTTAATTACATACAAACAAGGGACAGTCACGTCATGATAGATCATCAGGGCCCCGTCTTACAAAGACTTACGATTGATCCAAATCAATCGCAAGTTTGCTGTCTCCTATTTCTAATGTACATAGTTGCGATTGATAAACTCTTTGTAAGACAGGGCTCTGATATCATAAAAAGCAAACACTTTTACATAGTCTGTTATCATTTTAATTTCCTTATTTAAAAAAAATGAACTTAAAGTGACATAAGGGAGGGGGAAGTTTGCAAACACGGCAAAATAATCGCGGATCAGTGATCGCAACCATCACATAACTCACCTATCCATTATCTCTGAGACATCCTGACATCTGAAGACCTCTTTGACCCTCAGTGGGGTCAGGTCAGATCTCGTAGGTCGATTCACTGCTTTGACAAACAAACTAATCCTTTGGACTCTGCAAGTATAAATGAAGAATTCCAATTAAACGGCTATTGACAGGTTATATTGACGGCTATAAATTATTCAGATCACTCGATACACCCATCAGAGTAGAATATATGCTCCCCCATTCTGCATATTTGTTCTGGAACGCTTGTTTTCAAGAAATCGTATTTAATGATAATTTTTGGAAACTCTGAATACACATGTACATTGAAAAGCTAAAAGGTGTGTCATTATTTGGCTTATGAAGGTAAAATTCAGTCAATAGATCATCTGAAATAACCCATTCATTTTAAAGATGACTGATAGGTATTTTGGAGAGCTTTATGTTTGATCATTTCACAAACTGATCACAAGAACATAATTAGTGTTTTTATTTAAAGTCTAGAATAGCAAAGAAGCTGCACTACACATCAAATCTTTGAAAGGAAAACAATATCACAGAGAAATTGACCTAGTCATTTAAACTTTTTCCAATTTTGACAACTTTTGTAACTTCCCCTTTTCTGAAGATAAAAGATTTCAGAATATTTCACTCTGCAAATCTCATTTAATAATTTTGTTTTATAGAGCAAGATTTTTCTATCATTAATTCTAGCGACCCTTTGCAGAGATCGACATTGACTGCTTTTCACATATTTACCTCTCTGAGTATGGTAATGAATGCACATCCTGACCTGCTAACCACATGGCGTCTATGATATGAGCTGTTAGCATTCTCCTCTGACCCGAGCCCTATACACATTCAAAACATGACAGGTAGTCAAATGGTATAGTGTAAACACATCATTCATGGGAGATGAGGTTTTGAGAGATATGTTGGGGAGCTATCCACATAGCATCTATGATATGAACTGTTCACATTCTTCTCTGACCTGGGGAGGTTTCACAAAGACTAAAATCGACTTTAAGTTGGACTTAACTATGGCAGGCCATGCACGCTATTGTTTGTTCTCACAATTATGTTCTTTAGATAATATTTTTTCATTCAATAAGGATTTATCAAAAAATGTAAATTCTGTAGATTGGTGACCATGATTTGTACGCCCCTCAAGAGAACAATGCCATTAAATGGTGAGAGCAAACAGTGGCATAAACGGCCTGCCATAGTTAAGTCCAACTTAAAGTCGTTCTTAGTCTTTGTGAAACACCCCCCTAGACTCTGAACAGTCAAAATAAACTTAGAGGAGATGGGATTTACAGATATTTTTTTGAGAGATGTGAGTTGGTCTAGTGGTCCGCTCTCTAGACTTTCAATGACACCGATAATGAATGAATGTTTTGATTTGATCTAAATACAATGTGTTATGAAACTGCTCTACAACTCTTTAATGACAAGACACTGCCAGGGGGGGGGGGGGGATGCTGCAAGGATGTGGTACCAATGTCTCCCAAATTACAAGAGAGACATACTTATATGCATGGCATGTATCGATGTGCTTCAGACATTTAAAATTTACCAAAAAAATAATAAATATACAACCACAGCAAATCTTTGTTATATAATTTAACTGATGCATGTTTCTCAAATCAACAACTTTGGTGGCAGGACAATTCAATAAGTAATTAAAAAATATAAACAATTTCAGTGCTCATTGTAAAAGTGTAATTTGTTTCTCAATTTAAAATTTGTGTTATCCTCACCTCTCCTTTGAGTTCCTCAAGAAGTTCTGCTTCAAACAGTGTGTCTCCTGGTAGCCGTAGCTTACACTTCTCTAGCTTCCTCCACCTAGGGGGTTGGTGCTTCCCATCCCAGAAGAATACATTAGATCTCTGTAAGAAAATAATGGGGTAGATAGAAAGGTAAAAATACTTGACAGGATTGATGTAGCTTTCTCCTTCGTGGTAGTTGGTTTAGGGCAATCCCAAAAATATACATAAGATATCAACAAAAAAATAATGGGTTATAAAATAAAAATACTTGACAGGATTGATGTAGCTTTCTCCTTCGTGGTAGTTGGTTTAGGGCAATCCCAAAAATATACATAAGATATCAACAAAAAAATAATGGGTTATAAAATAAAAATACTTGACAGGATTGATGTAGCTTTCTCCTTCGTGGTAGTTGGTTTAGGGCAATCCCAAAAATATACATAAGATATCAACAAAAAAATAATGGGTTATAAAATAAAAATACTTGACAGGATTGATGTAGCTTTCTCCTTCGTGGTAGTTGGTTTAGGGCAATCCCAAAAATATACATAAGATATCAACAAAAAAATAATGGGTTATAAAATAAAAATACTTGACAGGATTGATGTAGCGTACATCAAGCTAGCTTTCTCCTTCATGGTAGTTGGTTTTTGCTATCCCAAACGAATACATAAGATATCTACAAGAAAGTACTGGGTTAGATACAAAAGTAAAATTGTTGAAAAGAATGATGCAGCTTAAACCTGTTTAGCTTTCTTAGCCTTGGGGATAGTTCCTCTCATCCCAGAAGAGTACATAAGCATAAGATCTCTACAAAAACAAAGTTATGGTACACACAAGGAGCTGATCAGACACTTCTCATCTTAGAAAGAACTTGTAGGATCTCTACATGAACAAAAGGTGGTATATAAAAAACCTTTTCCTCTCTATCGGAAACTTTGTTTAAAATTGTAACCGAGGTTGAGAGTGAAAAAACAATTACAGAGTCAATTAGAAGGCCAACTTTCGAAAGTTTTAATGTATATATACATATATATATATATATATATTTTTGTTTTGTTTTTGGGGGGGGGGGGAAAGAAATGAAAGTTTTCTTGAATGTTTTTCATAAATTAAAGTACAACCTGTGAACCTGGTATAGAATGATCCAACGTATATTCCCAGTACAGTTAGCACAGCACTTTGTTTCATAGTATCCCAAGGTTTTTTTTTGTGCAATTGGAAATAATGTCCATCAAAGCTGGTACAATAGAGAGGAATATCATACTTGACACTGAAAGGAAAGTGATAGAATTTCTATTATGACCTACCCCAACACCAAGAACAAAGTAGCGCTCTCCTGCAGACACTGTACAGCGATAGTCATACACACTCTTGACTTTCTGAGCAAAGTTCTCCTTGTCCAACGGCATGGCAATCCTGCAGAAGTAACCGCAGTCGCCCCGATCCTCCTGTTAAACAGAAAAGCATCCCCAAATTCTTAATTCTTACCCCTCTCTTGTTACAACTTTCATGTCAAGGGGTCAGTGACACAAAGACGTAACTCCATTTTGGCCATTTTGAGAAAAAGCGGTTTATGTGTCAATGAGCACTTAGGCCTTAAGGAGTTAAGTCTATGTTTCACTAGCCATTGACTTTAATGATATCAAATACTCATTTTAGCAAAATATGGAGTTACGCCTTTGTGTCACTGAACCCTCGATATGTACATGATTTTTGTGTGTAATGGAAGCATGCCATAACTAAATATCAAGCATCATCAGTAGAATGTGACCCCTACAGGAAAACATTTTTCTGGCACTATAAATCTTCCAAGGGTTTGCTGCAATGGCTTACAACACACCTGTTTTTCATCATGAATAGCCTCGATCAATGCAATAAGTGTTATGTAGATCACAGAAAGGGAAAATTAGGCTTTCTCAGGTCTAAATGCCCTACATCAAAACAGGTCCTACAAAATCTTTGGTTTTAATAACCTACCCCTTTACTTACAGTGAGTTTCCTATAAGCATCTACATAAAAAAGACAATGTAAAAGCCTTTTGAGTTAATTTTGACAAAAAGTGCAAGCCATCTGTTGCACCATCTACAAATGCATCTACCATAGGCTACGGCTATGTCTTAGGCAGTGTGTGGACATAGAAAGGGAGTGACGACCCTTGCCTCCGGAGTCACAGGAGCGGATGGGGTCAATCTCTGCCTCAACCGCATTTAGGTTATACCATTTAATAGTCATGGATTGAGAATGGATTAGGGACCCTTACTGGTTTGAAATAGAAAGATTAAACAAGAACTTATGTTCAAAGTTTGTGTGTTATTTTATGAATAATTAGAGGAAGAGTATATGCCAACCTCTCCTTCCCTTTATCATAAAAGGCCAACTTAATACAATTCTTGTCAGCTTCTATTTTCTTCAGGACTATTTTTCAACAGTAGCCAAGATTGCTTCAAAAAATGATCTGCGCATGCTCGGGCGGGTTTAAACGAGAACTATGAAGTAAAATTAACAAGGGCTATGAAGTAGCTCCACAGAATTACATTGGCTGGAGTCAATACATGCATTATGTTAAGGCAAGTTTGACATATAAATCTTCACCACGATAAAGTTGACACATGCATGCTAAAAAAAAAATAAAAGTCTCATGTTTAACATGTCTTCATACCTGGCAAAGTTCACTGAACTTAGTAGCTGTATCTGGGACTTTGGGAGCTGCTCTTGATCTTCCTGGGATCTAAAGGAAAGCAAAAATAATTCTTCAAATTAAACAGAACATCAAAATGTCACTTTTATATTGCCTTTGCTCGATTCCTGTGGGTTTTCGTAATAAACGAACAGGAGTATAAAAAAATGTTACATTGCAGTGATGAATCTGGGGTTTCATCTTTATTTCACAATCAATGTCTTTGATACTTAAATACAGTCACCAGCAAAATCATTTCCCTTTTGATAACTTGTAAACCTTATAGGTAGTGGGCAGTTCTACAGAACTGCACTCCTGTCCTCCACGAGGTCCTAAGGTCACACCTCTGGCAAGTATGACCAACCCTTAGCCACCCAAACCTGAGATATGGTGAAACTGTTGAGCAGTAACAGCAGTGAAAGACCTCAACTTAATTAGACAATAAGATCAAATAGTTTGTTCTTGTATAGTTCACATCACAATATGAGACACCACCCTTCTTCACTTTTAAAGAGCTTTGAAAAAGATGACCCTAAGTATTAGAAATAATCCTACCAGGTACCCACCTACTACACATAGGTCAAGTGAAGATTAATGTTCTAACAAAGAATATAAGTCCTGTGGCAAGGATTTGAGCCCTAAACCTTGTGATTCACAGTCTTGTGACTTCAAACTACACCACAGCACCTCTACAATCTTAAATAGCAATTGTGTTGTTGGTAGTCCATTGAGTAGTCATGATCTTTAGAAGAAGGAAGCCAAACGTACCCCCCAGAGTGCCAGACATTCATCCCTCATCCTCTTCTGTTCCATCTCAATCAGATCGGAGTTCTGTACATAGGCCTGGATCTTGGCAAGACCTTGGGTTTGAGTTTCAGCTTGCCTGAATAAACAACCATTATTAATTTTTAGTGTCATTAGATTCAACTCTTTGTGGAATGAATGAAATAAAAACAGCTTGCCTGAATATACAACAAATATTAATTTTTCTTTCCTTAAATTCAACTCTTTTTGGAATGAACGAAATAAAAACAGTGAATACAAAATTTGGGGTTGAGACTATTCACTCAACAGACTATTCACTACACAGAGATACATCTGCATTATCTCCAAGTTGTACAAAGTTATTGAGATGACCAGTACAGTGCTTTTCATTGACAGTTCATTGACCTTTGACTTTGAACTTTGGCTTTGACCTTGAAAACATTACCCAATATTCAAACTTGACTGAGGTCTTCAAAAGATGAGCATATAGTATGAAGTTATTGAGAGTGCGCTGCATGGCCTGACTGATGGACGGACAGGATTAAGTCCTTTAAAATGACTAGGGACAATGACAATACTGATAGTAGATCATTAATTATAATAATAATACTTTGTTTCTAGGCGCAGTACATATTATTACCCGGTCATCAGATTCAGGCTTACCCACACACAATGTATGCACATTCTCCACTCCCTGGGGAGCATTCCGTACATTGTACATTGCGACTCATCACTGTACCTTTCATTCTGTGCTATGACGTAGTCCATGAAGGCGTCGTCTGCTTGCAGCACACCGAGAGGAACACTCTCAAGCACATCCTGTTTACTTGGTTTCAGCATGTTCAAGGTCACATTCAGGTCGTAGAGGAAGTCATGCGTCGGGTCAGTTCCCGACCTACGACCCTTGCAGATCACATATCTAAATGAGAAATGTTATACTCTGCCAATTACACAATTACAAGTGCACACTATCACACACACACTTTTAGAGATAGTGGAAAATCAATATTGGTCATGACTATCTATTTGAAGTGACACTGAGTAAGAGCTTTGATGAGGCATTGACCTCTCTGAATAAACAGCTTTTTCAGTATTTGTGCTTTATAGAAGCAAAGGACCCTGAAGCAAGGCATTGAACAACGATACTGACCTTTCTGAATTTGCTGGTCTGCTTGTGACGGGTTTGAAGAGGGAGACTTGTTCGAATGACCGGTAAAGGACGTAGATCAGACCAATGCTGAATGGTGTGAAGAGGTCAAAGGTCTTGCACACAAAGTGACCACCTGTAATGAGTGATTGAAAGAGATTGAAAAAGAATTTAAATGAAAGATTAACATAAGAAACAAAAAAATGTTTAGATTATGATCAGGACAAAAGCTTCTTTTACTGTGAGGCTTAAATGAAGTCTTACAAAGCACAGCTCCTGATAGAAATAGTGAAGAGAAAGAATAGCAATAATAACTTCTTTGATCATTTGACCAATTAAGAATAAAATAGTAAGGGATAGGACATTGAATGATTACTGAAACACTGGCATCTAGAACATGGAAATATATTGAGTTGAAACCACCGCATATATTTTATGTATGTTTCTGTATAGGGATGGATTTTACAGGTACCTCCTAAACCCATTCATCACTCTGTCCTAAATGTATTAGAAAGCATGGGGGAAAAACTGTTTAGGAGTTGAAGCTGAATTATGAGACATATTATATGACATGATTCTTACAAGAGTTTATTCATAATAATAAATATATAGCGCCAAATCTACTCTTTGGAGTGCTCAAGGCGCATGTAGGAATAATTAAGAATTAATTAATTAATTTTTTTACATGATTTTTAACGGTTAAGAACCAAAGGGTATGTACATTACAATACCTTCTCTGACTATTGACATGGCAACCAAGAACTGACATAGCAACAGTTGTTTATTGAGAATCTCCTGGATATTCTCCTGACCTTCCACAGAGAAACCCTAGTGAAGAAAAAGACCAAGCAAGGGTGAAATTCAAATGTCATTCACGAGGGCTTACTGTTTTCATTTTGTTAAGATTTTTTACATTACACCCTATTGCTAGAAATCTTATTCAGCGGTGGCCCTCTTTTCATTTACAGGGCATTTTAAAGACGATACAGATATCCTATTGTGGAGGTGTCATAATATAGTGCTTCGTTCACTTGACTCTCAGTCCAAGTCTTGAGGGTTCCAATCTCAGTCTGCCATTAAGACATTAATTCACATTTGCCACTCTTCACCCAGGTGTAAATGGGTACCTGTCAATCGCTGGGATAATAATTATTGCAGGGCCTTCAAGAAGAGCAGCGTTGAAGCTGGTGAGGCTGCCATGGGTACCGGTAAAAGAAAATTATTATTTCATCAATTACTCTAATTCTTGGAATACTGTAGAAATTTCATAAAGACGATCCGAAGACCTGATCCCATGATTACACATAGCTTATCTGCCCCTATGTCATTTCATAAACACACGTGCAAAACTGTGGATTCTAGGGCCTTTTATTAAAGTTGAAATCATTGACGTAATCCATGTACTAAATATGAAATACATAACAAAATACTCACCCCATCGGCCATGACGAAATGGACACCTTTCCCATCCGTGTGCTCCATTACAAATCTTCTGAACTCACTTTGGTTCTCACTGTTTGTAGCATCCCCATCACCATCACTCCCATTCACACCTAGCATAAGAAACAATAACATCACTCATCTCAATATGATGCAAATAGATGCAAATAGGATGCGAATAGATATCATGCTTGAGAGTGGACAGCAGCCAAAAAAGGAAAAGGCTCCTATAACAATAATAATAATAAAAATGGTGCTGATAAGGCCTTACTCCTCAACCGTATCCTCCATTTCCCACAACAAATTCACAACCCTGATATTTTAATTCTACCAAACATCAAGCATTATTGGTTGGTTACAAATTTGATTTCCAACCAGACCCCCCCCCCCCCACAACAACAAAATAAAAAATGTAGGTAAATAACAAGTATTCTTACACGGAAGATTACCTACCATAGTGAGGTTCAAAGAATTCTGGAGATGCTGAGAAGAAGTTCTCCAGCTTGAAATCACAGCTACCTTTCAAGGTGAACCCAAAACCTTTGACCCGGAAGTCCCTCCTGGTCTGAGACTGTGTTCTCCTCCACACCACGTACTCTGAGAAACCTCCAGGGCCAGCAGCCACATCAGCAAAATACAGGAGCTCATTGTCTTTCACCACCGGCGTCTGCTTATCAAAAATATTAAAAATGAAAAAGAGGCGATGAAGACATATTCCACTGATTTGAGTGTTAATAAACAAAAAACAAATCTTATTCAGAGAGACTGAGTAAGTCATCTTGAGCAGTAGTAAAAGTAGAAAAAGAAAACAAAATTGATATTTTTTATAGATATCTTCATAATCAAACTTAAAATTATATAACATTTAATTTAACCTCACTTATTATTTATGATATAAAAGTCAATACCTATTGCGCGATCAAAAGATTTTTAGAAGAATTTCTCCTTTGCCAATTTATAATATACCAACTATCTGGAATGCAGCTCCATTACTCACCCTATCTGGGTGTTTTGGCGATGTGAACATATAATCACAGAGAAAGTCCATATTAGCCATCTTCATGGCTGCTCGATTCAGGAAGATGCCACCCCGGATCGTCTCATAGGGGTTGGAACGGGTTCTGGCTTGCCTCATCTCCTCTGCGTCAAGGCGGTCAAAGGTCGACTATTGAGAAAAAAAGGAGTAATGCTCAGCTTATTCTACATAAGATCTTATCAGCAGTAATGTATTCTCATTTTTTAAAATTCCATTTTGCACACCCTGAAACTAGAAGCTTTTTTAAGGTTCGATCTTTGGCCCATACTGTTAACTTAGGACTATTAAATAATGTTGCTCCGATTGCAAATAAGCAAATAGGGCACATTTGATAAAACCATACAGTAAGGAGAGCATGACTGTAGTACTGACTACTATATGACTAATCTTAAACAAGGCTCATCTCAGTTTGGTCTGGATAGGACTAGTTGTAATGTGCCAAGTATTTGAAACTTCATACAAACATTGCCTATCACCCAAATTGAGAGCGAAGAAAGAAAAAAAACAAGGATAGTATGCATTCACATTGTAATTACATGCAGAGTGAATTCAATTTAGATGTAATACTCTTTTGAGACTGACTTAAGTCCCCCCCCCCCCCCCCCCACCCTCCAAAAAAAATTACAAAAATTCTTGTGTGTTTCTTACCTTTTGTTCAAGGAGTATCTTCAGCAGGGTTTCATCACAGAATTCTGTCTCATCATCAATTGTCAGCTTTTGCTGTAGATAGAAAGAAAGAGATAGCAATTTGTCACATCCTTATTACCGTAAAGGCAATTAATAAAAAAACATGAGAGGAAGAGGGTGACATGTTCATTTCACTGCTCAATTAAGGATGTCATGTTGTATGGACACTGACAGACATCCTTTTTTGGGGGGAGGGGTCCTAAGTGAGCAGATGGTCTTGCAGCACCCCAGGGTGTGTTCCGAGAGGATTAAATTGATTTCACATGTTGCAATTATGCATTGATTTATAAATCTATCATGCTTGTTTGTCCCCTTGTCAGGCAGAAGGTGTCCCTCACACTTGGCATGAGCATAAAGTGTTTAATATGTACTGGTGAGAACACTGTGGATGGAAAATACCTTGTGAACATATGTACCGTTTGTCAGCCCTTACCTTTTGGGCATCCCACAGGACTTTCCATTCCTCTATCTCAGCGCTGGTCAGGATACCTTGTGATGGCTCCATCCATTCAACGGTTTCTTCAGAAGACACCTAGAGTAACAAAATCAATGAAAGTAATAATAATGATCTCGATTTATATACCTCTTAATAGAAAATACAGTCTTTAAGCCCTTTACAGATATTATTACCCCGGTCATCGGATTCATTCATGCACAATGTGCACCATCTCCACTCCCTGGGTTGTATTCCTACCATATGGTCACCGTGAGGGCATATGGCAATTACTAACACAAATGCTTTGGCATGGAGTGGCAAATGTAGATTAATGCCTTGCCAAATTACATTAGTGCCGTTTCGAGGATCGAACCCACAACCTTTGCATTTGAAGTCAAGTGCTCAAACCACTCAACTACGACACTTCTACTGATAGTTATGAATAGCTAGCACATTCAGAAATTAACATCATGAGCACAGAGAGATAGCATAAATGCCATGCATCATTTCAAGTGAAGAATGATTATAATGCAAATTCAAATATGCCAACCTTATGCTCATGCTTTCATTGTCTCACTCAAACTGATATTATTTGAAAGAGCAGCTAGCATAATTTTGCTCTGCAAATTTCATATTCACGATTATACTGTTAATTATGCATAAGTGATACTGATAACTAATAGAAGTAAATTTTGAGCAAACTGGCAATACCTGACCAGACTATGTACTCCGGACAAGATATTACAATTTATAGGTGGTCCAATTATTGATCATTTGTACTGGCATCATTCGCTGCAGCTTTATTCTTTCAAATACATAGAGTTTTGTTTGGGTATAGTGTTGTGTCAAGGATTGAAATTTAAACGTTAATTAAAGGACGAAATTGACTGCTGAGCAATTGTGGATGTACTATATGTTGTACGTTGCCCCTTCATGGAACGAGTTCCCATCATCATCTTTTCATGAAAAATGTAAATATCATGATTGTATTTGATTGTTTCAATAAGACACATTTATTTTTAAAAAATATTTCAAAAGTTCCCATCATAATCATCATATTGAACATACCTTTTCATCTCCGGCCCACACCACTTCAGTGCTAGGTTCAAATCCAGCCGTCTTGAGACCGAGACCACGTCGCCCTCTTTGTTTGGATGCTTCAACGATGTCCACACGACCTTTGCCCTTTTTACCAAGTCCTGCGCCTTCTTTGTAACCCATTTTAGCCTGGAGTCGAAAGAAAAGAAATTTTATAGACCTTGTGGTAGATTAGCCTCGTACTACACAAGTTATCCAATAAAATTTTCTACTACTTCTTCTATTACTACTACTACTACTACTACTAAAAACAAAAACAAATTGAAAGAGAGAAATTCTACAATAATTTATTACAAAAGAGGGTTCCTACGGAGATATAATGTTCTATGTATTCCTCCTTTATGGCAATAACTGTATCAGTTTACATATAGCCATCCTTCATGAAAGAGTTCAACATTCCTTCAAATATCTTCAAATATTGGCACTGCTTCCCTTTCCATCTTCTCTGCCATTTAAATAGCGGAGGAAATGCAAAGCACATACAAAGTACAACTTTTTGTTTTTTTATAGAAGTTGCAAGAAGGGGAAAAAAAGGGATATAGCCTATTGTTTAGTATTAGTATTACCATCATTTTCTGTGCAGCTGAGCTGTATCCTGAAGATGATGATGGCGCTGCTGGCTTGGAAGGGGCCATTGATGGGGCCATTGATGGGGCCATTGATGCACCCAGGCCCATCGGTTTGAAGAGAGGCGGTGGAGATCCAATCGAAGATGAAGAATCAGAAGAGTCTGTGGATGCATCGCTCAGGGATTTGAACATCTGCTGGGGGGCAAAAGACACACCCCCTCCTCCACCGTCATCCCCATCTAATAAATATTTGAAAAGAATCTAGTAATCAATCCTTTGTTTGGTGTTGGTTTTTTAGGCTTCGCCCTCCAGGTCATAAATAAACGTACAAGCATGCCTGCCTGAAACTGTCATACTACTACTAATAGAGAATTTCAGTATTACCCATCTATCCTGTGGTTCTAGCAGGCGCGGATCCAGGATTTCTTAGGGGGGGGGGCCCAAATTTGAAATTATGCTAGCCAAATATTGGTACGTAATGGTGACCAACGGTGATGTAATGCGGCGGGGGGGGGGTCGGTGCAGGGAGGGGCGAGTCCCCCCCCCCCCCTCCTCCACGAAACGCGGAAGCTTTGACGTTTCGTTAAATTATTAAAGAAAGAAGACGATTCGTTGTACCGTTCTCGACTCAAAATCTTCGTCTGAATTTAGTTTTGCCCCTCCCGCGCGAAGCGCGGAAAATTTTACGTTTTATTAAATTATTAGAGAAAGAAGACGATTCATTTTAGAGTTCTCAACTCTTAATCCTTGTCTGAATTCAGGTTCCCCCACCCTCCTGCGCGAAGCGCGGAAGATTTGACGTTTCATTAAACTATTAAAGAAAGAAGACGATTTGTTGTACCGTTCACGACTCTTAATCCTCGTCTGAATTTAGTTTTTCCCCTCCCGCGCGAAGCGCGGAAAATTTTACGTTTTATTAAATTGTTAGAGCAAGAAGACGATTCGTTGGAGAGTTCTCGACTCTTAAACCTCGTCTGAATTCAGGTTCCCCCATCCCGAGCGAAGCGCGGAAGCTTTTACGTTTCATTAAATCATTAGAGAAAGAAGACGACTCGTTGTACCGTTCTCGACTCTTAATCCTCGTCTTAATTCAGTTCCCCCCCCCTCCTGCGCGAAGCGCGGAAGCTTTTAAGTTTCATAAGATAATGAGAGAAAGAAGACGATTGGCTTTACAGTTCTCGACTCTTAATCCTCGTCTGAATTCAGGTGCCCCCCCCCTGCGCGGAAGCTTTGACGTATCATAAGATTATGAGAGAAAGAAGACGATTCACTGTACCGTCCTCGATTCTTAACCCTTGTCTGAATTCAGTCCCCCCCCCCCTCCCCTCCCGCGCGAAGCTTTGACGTTTCATTAAATTATTAGAGAAAGAAGACGATGCGTTGTACCGTTCTCTATACTCTTAATCCTTGTCTGAATTTCAAAGATGTTCTTTGTCTGCTCCTTTTACTTCCTACGTCCTCTTCCGTTTTTGGGGGACCGCCCCCCCCCCTGGCTACGCGCCTGCGGTTAGATAAACACATTTTGATAACTTGTCCGGCCCCGGAAGCTCAGGGTTTCAGGCGTTTAATTAATGTCAGATGATCATTTTTTTTTAATACCTATTATTTTGTGACACTGGTAGTTCACTATTTGGCGTGGGGTCCAGGGGGCGGATCCCCCCCCCAAAAAAAAGAGGGGTTTTAGGCAATAAATTACCGTCAGATGAGCATCTAAGGGCCAGCCGTAGCGCCCTAGGTGGAATCCAGGGGGCAGAGCCCCCGGAAGCTTAGGGGTTTTAGGCATTTAATCACGGTCAGATGAGCATATTTTGATGCCTCATTTTTTAACACTGCACTGGCATTTAACTATTCTTTCTTTCTTGCTCTCATTCTATTTTTTTTTCTCTTTAATATACTTTTTCAAATAAAGTGGGGGGGGGGGGGAGGGAGCTCGAGGCTCCCGATCCCTGCCGTACCTCGGGCCCTGATATGTAGGAATCTCAAGAATCATATTTCGTGCCTGGCTGTAAATTTAGGAATTTGTCATTTTCCAACAAACACATATACAAACGTATAATTTACTAAAAAATGAGGACAAATCTCGGAAATTATGTCATTTCAGCATTAATTGTAATCCACCGTTGTGGAATTAGAAATAAACCACGTTTGAATTTGATTCCCCCAAAGCCCCCCCCCCCCCCCATTAGTACGCCAGTATCTCCTCTTTTCCTTTTTTCTTTCCCTTTCCTTCCTTCTCTCTTATTTTTTTGATTGGGGGGGGGGGGGGGGGGGTTAACAGCCTGGGAGGCAGGGCCCTTTCGGCCCCCCCCCGATTTCCTTCTTCCCCCTTTTCTTTTCTTCTTCTTCTTCTTCTTCTTCTTCTTCTTCTTCTTCTTTCTTTCTTTCTTTCCCTTTCTCTCCTCTTTCCCTTTCCCTTCTTTTCCTTTCTTCTCTCTTTTTTTTTTTTTTTTTCTTTTTTGCGGGGGGGGGGGGGGGGCCAAGGCCCGCTCGGCCCCCCCCCTGGATCCGCGCCTGGGTTCTAGAGTGTATAATCTTTTTCAACTTTAACTTTAATCAAGTGTGTAGATCCAACATACGATGGCACTGTTGTTTTGACGAGTGTTAGTTTTGTAATTGCTGCCTGTGCTGAACATATTTTCTTCATCGTAAGTAAAGAATAAAAAAGATGACCTTGTTCTAGATAATATCTAATGTTTTAGTTTTACATTTCAAAAAATAATTATAGGTCTATAAAATATATAAAATATGACTGACTTAATTATTGCAATCATTCCACTAGAATTTCCAATAATCCAGCATTAAAAAAAAAACACTAAAATAATGAAAGTGAGGGAATATCATATGGAATACTAAAAATAGATCCAACGTACTTTAGTCTTTAGACCGCATTAACATTTTACTCTAGATCAAATCAAAGTCCTTGACTACCATACAAATAGGATTCATATTCATAATACCTAGATCTGCAGTTAACTCATAAATTATTCATAACCTTACCAAGTTTTTTAATTTCTAAAGCAGTCTAGATCTAGACAAATGTGAAAAATTGATTTGTCTGAATTTACGTTTATTGACAAGACTTGAGAATGTGATGAATGTGATGTGACATGCAATATATATGTTAAAGCTACAGTTACTTTTAAAAGTATTCAACAAAGGCACTAATTCAACTAGTCCATCTGTCATTCTTGAGTTACAGAAAACACAAAAAGACATCAAATTTACAAGGGGTAGGATTATGAATGTGTCTGTATGTGTTGAGCTGAGCGAGGCGAGGGGATCAAACGTATAATGTGTACATGTGGGACTAAGGTTGTTTTGAAAATTTGATGGTTGGTAACGGGAAGATCTACATCATTTGACACGGAAGAGAGGTAAATTCTCACCATTGAAATTTGATTTCTTGGACAGAGGTGGTCCATCTGACTCCCCGTCGTATTTCCTTTTCCTATCCATCCTCAAAATAGCGTTAAAGTGTACAACAAAAATTGAGTTTTTATCCTTCTTTTGGCTCTGGTTAGCAGTTGGATTCCTGTGATCTCGGCAACTAGTATTTTCTGCGTCTTTCGACTCGGCCCCAAATTGTACGATGCGGGACTACTACTCCGTATGTGATCATGATGTGCTTTAAAATAGCGATATTTGTTATAGAAGAAAATTAGTAAAAAATATATCGTTATTCTATAGAGATTACCAAAACCATAGAAATAGTATGGTTAATACTGCCACTACATTAAGCATAATACACGAATGAAAAATGAAGTCGAAACTAAATGGTGCCGACTTTATTAAGGACAGTGTGTTTCGACGCCTGGGTGGCTCGTAATGTACAAGATACTCGGGGATTCCCCGTGCCTACTTTTGTTTACAATTGGAGGAAGTTCGTTATTCCAGTAAAAAGAGGAACGCGGGAAAAACGTAACGAAAGCGAATCATGGAATGAATCGAGAGTCAAGAGTTGCAATTTATTTCTGGAACTTCTTTCCAATGCACCACCTTCACTGTCGGCTAGACAAAGAATAACCATGTTTACAAACAACGGAGGTCTATAATAGCCTGTAATTTCTAAAATATGAAATCAGATTATAATATATGGTGTATTCATTCTTTGCGTTTAAAAAAAAAAAGTGAAATCAATTTGTATTACCTTTTTACCTTCAAATGCTCCCATGGATTTTTATTACTTCGACAATCAACATCCCTCATTCTCTCTCTTAATTATTTTTGATTCTCTGTCATTTCCTCTCAACCTCATTCTCTTACCCCCCCCCCCCCCCCCCACCCCCTCTCTCTTATTCTTTCATTCTCCCTTAAACTCTTTCTCGCCCTGGCACTTTCAACCTTTTTTTTTCTTTCATGGTCTGAGTCTCTTTTTATCTCTCTATTTATTATTTAATTATCTGTCTCATATTCTCTCTATTTAATTATCTGTCTTATATTCTCTCTATTTAATTATCTGTCTCATATTCTTTCTATTTCTTTTTTTATGCTTGTTTTATTCATAAAGATCATATTAATATACATGTATCATTTTAACTATGCACATATGTTATCTTATTCTTGTTTCCACCCACCCTTTCTCTCTCTCTCTCTCTCTCTTTCTCTCTCTCTCTCTCTATTTAACTTTTTAGCGCTTAGAGACTGGGGTGGAAAGCACTTTATAAGCACCTTTATAGCCTCATTATTATTACATGCATTGTCCAATCAACACACCAGTAAATTTGAACTTTTATTTGCACAATTAAAAAACAATACATATTTTGCTGCCATTAGAAATGAACAATAATTAACAGGTGCTACAAGATTAACCATACGGTTATAAAGAAAATGTCGGGATGTATTCAAAGTCTGCACAACAGCACAACTCATTTTCTCATACTGTATCTGAATCACATCATTTATTAAAAACTTAATTTTCATTCAACGTCCATGTCAGCACTGTGAACATTGAGCTTGATTTAATGACTTTTAAGCCATAAGTTACATTTATGGTCATGATTATAGTGAGAAGTACTATAAGAGATCCTTAGTTGTTAGATCAATGTTCTTTATGATTGAAATTTGGTAATATATCATTTAAAGGTCTGCATATTATTCTCTGCCAGTTTCAGAATGATAATGCATTCCGAACTTGTACATAGCCGTCTGGGGGAAAAGACAACTTACAAAAGAAAGAAGCAAGGCAGAGTGCAAAAGTCACATATCACATTGACTACCCGGTACTAAATTCCCTCATGCACATAGGCTTAATATTGGGACCATCTGAATGCTGACTAACAGCATCAGGCAGCAGACACAGAATATGCTATGACAGGACACCACTTAACATAGGTTAAGATCAGTCTTCAGTTCTTGGCAGGGTTTGACACTCCTGGTAAATAAGAACCCCCAAATTTTGTTCTGGTCCCCCAATATGTTCTAACGTAAATTGTGGAATTATAACATGCATATTGACCTAATATTTTATATATTAACCCTCCCCCCGAACAAAATAGAGTGGAGTCTTGTTTTACATTTAGAATCTTGATCTGATCGTTCAGGATTGTAATTTCTATTCCGTAGTCAATCCATGCATTCCGTGGTCTCATCCTTTTGTTTCGAAGTCCTAGTCTTATAACAAAGTGGTAGTTCCTCAATCTAGGACTGCAGGCTTTAGCTTGTCATTGCCACTGATGAGTATAGAACATGAAGAGTACACATCGCCAACTTGGCAATTTGTTCTTTATTTCTCTAGCAAAATCCAGGTCTCCAATTCTTGGTTGTGGCTTGACAGCTTGGTCTTCAATTCTGGGGACATGTCTTGATGTTATGGCCTTTGAGTCTCCTTGCTCTTAGTTCTTGTCCTAAAGGCCATTGCTTTGTCACTTTCACTGAATAATGCATATGCAATGTAAAGATGACCAACTTGACAAGAAGTCCTTTCCAGCCAACAGTGATGTAGCAAGACAAGTCTCAGGCTGTTGATATTTTGGTATTGGTCTCAGCCCCAAGACCTGAATGAATGTAATCAAAAGCATCCTCCAGGTTTGCGTCTCTGGGCCCAGCGACTTGACTACGATACTCCTACCCAATCACAATGTTGCTCCTGCATCATGTGACCTTGATGGCTGTAATATTCTTGTCTCTGCAGCCAATCACGACCTCTTGTTTTCCTTCCTTATCCACTTCTGAGAGAGACATGGCTATCACCCAGTCAGAGGTCTGGTACTTTGCAAGGCACTGGGGGAAGAAATGGAATAAATTTGTGAAAGGTTGTGAATTAATTTATGGAATTTAGTATCATTTCATTGATTGTCTATATTTGCAAAAAAAACAAAAGAGAAAGTACAGTGTATTATTATACTTTCTTCCAAGAAGTATTCAATGACCTCCAGCTTGAAGTCCTATGAGAGAGACAGGTTCAACAAATTGAGGGTTAAGATTTATTCCTTCCTTATCTATATAATGGACTCTAAAACACCACTTTGGTCCTTCAGCTGGACAAATTTGACTTTATAACCACTGCTATATACTGTGTTTTGTCATGCATATCATAATTTGAGAGAAAAAACACCCATATACTCCGAAAATGAACATAAGTATAATTTTTTCAAAGCAGCATTCATAACAGGTAACACTCAACAATTGTGAAGAGAATTTACACAAACATTTCCAACTTCATACCTTACTTTTTAACTGTTACATTTTATGTTTTTCATGATAGCAGGATACTTACTATTGCTGAATGATACAGAAAAACAGAGTTGAAATGTCCCGAACACAAGAGGGAGTCCTTGCCATCATTCTGTACTGACGGAAGGCGGAGCATCTGGGTGATCGGCAAATGAACATTGGCATACTGCAACTCAGATATCTGCCAAATAAACAGATTAAGATCAAATTTAGAATGGCTTGGAATAGCAATAGTATGAATCTGCATTTTATTGTATTGTGCAAATGCAATTCTGTTTCCTTCACTTATCAACTACTTTCCTTCTTAGCCGCTTTGCTTTGCGGTATCAAAATATCTTATTATTATCATTATTATTATCATTGTATTGTGCTGTATTTGTATTTGTATTGTATTGCATTGCAAGTTACATATCTGACATATCACAATAATCAAGCCTCTGAACTGTTGACTTTAGTGACAACTTGAGTTGTAAAGTTCTTCTATAATTTGGAGACCAGATTCAATTCATTAAAAACAACCCCAGCACATACATTTTTAAAACAATAAAACAGCACTATAATGATTCAGAAATGAGAATTAAAATCATATTCTGAAGCAACACTTTTGTATAAAATCAGATTTCAGTTCTGTCTTATTCTTGTACCTTGAAATTTGACAAGATGGATATTGTTCCATCCTCTCCACCCAGAGCAACTTGGTGGTCTATTCCATTCTTCATCTCAGGGATGTCAGTCTCCTCTGGGAGGGACATGAAATAGCCACTGCACATCTAAAACATAAAATAAAAAGAAAAATATATAAAAAGCACAGTATCTATCTTGATGTACTTTGATGAGATATAAAAATCAAATTTTCAGCTAATAGATCAGTGCTGAATATACAACAGTAAAATAGCACAGTCAAGCTTGAAATTTTTCATCAGTGTAATTTTAGGAATGACTTTATTATAAAAATGAAAATGATTGTGATAACAGAACACAATATTTGATTTGACACAAAACGAGTCAATTTTTTTTATAAAGTAAACAAAAGAATTATTAAAGTGGTGACTTATAAATATGGTGAATAAATTCACTTTCAGTTTCAATACCTACAAAAGAAAAAATTATGGAGAATAGGCAAAGTTTTGAAGGATGATAAAATACAATAATAATGTAAAAATTGTATACATAAATGAGAGTATGAAAATACAAATTAAAAGATCTTTGAAAGAAGAGGAAGAAACTTACAGCTTTAATGGATGTCACTGCTGGTAACGTGAGAACTAGTGCACCTTGCTGAATGAAGTGAAGATTTTTAGCCCTATCAGATGCAAGGATGTAGTTTGTAGCTATCCCTGAAGTACTGCTGTACAGTCTTGCTGCTAGAAGCTGACTTACTCCTTCAGCAGATTGCGGTTGAGTCTTGAAAAGAGAAAGAATAGATTAATTTTTAATTCTTGGAATGCCTGGTCATAAGATATCTTTTCAAACACTTGCATGCACTTGAAGTGTGCTTTGCATACTAAAATATATTAAGTCTAGTCAATTTGAAGATTTGAAAGCATATCAAGCAATACATAATAACTCTAAACAGTCCACAAATTGTATTGACCTATGCAATAATAATACTGACTTTGTATACTTCTTGGTAATTTTTATCTTATGTTTATTTCCATCAACCGGTTGGCAAAGATAAAATGTCTTATATAGAGAATATTAGTGTAATATTACAATTGTACACATGTACTCTATAAAGGCTGAAATTGAGTTGTGTAATCTGTTTTACCTTGTTATCTTTTTGAGGTCTGTTGTTTGTTGGCTTAAGCCTAAGCTTCCAAAGATTTGAGAAGGGTACAACTGCATGCACTTGGCCCT